CATGGGGGGGTGGCACCGCCCCTACCCGTCTTTTCCCCCACCCCGCCACCGTGAAAACCTGCCCCCTGCCCCGGCTCCGTCAGCCAAAACCCTGTGACCGGGGACTCTCAAGCACCGCCGGCTCCGGCCAGTGCTCGGGGCTCAGCCGTGGGACCCGGGAGACCCCGGTGTTGTTCCCGTCCCTGCCGCAGGCTGTAGCTGACCTTGAGCGAGTCCCTCCACGCCTGTGGCTCGCGGACCTCCATTTGTAAAATGTCATTGCCATGATGCAAGCACGGCGGTGGCATCGGACCCTCCACAGACGGAGACAACCTGTCACACAGTGAGCAGTGCAACTGGGGAAAGACAGGTAAATACAGTTTGTCTCCTCTCATTTGGGGTGGCTAGAGTTTGCCCCCATCTCCCAGGTACCAAACAGGTGAGCCTGCTTTTTTTTTTTTTTCGTTTACGACTCCAAGCCAGCACTTGGCCTCCCTGGGAGCCACAGCTGCATTTCACGGGCAATCAGACTTCCAGCTCTTTTGCCTTTAGAAACCTGTGGCTTGTTCCATCTGTGCCACATTTGGCATCTGAAAGCGTAGAGAAACTCATGACAGTGCACTTTCTCCCTCCGAAAATGGGGCTAACAGGTGAGTCTGCTGCCATCCTTCCCAGGACAAAAGTCTGTCTTTCCCTTGAAAGCCCTTTGTCAGTGCTAAATATTATTAAGCAGGCTTTTATCATCGTAGTATCTGATGCCTTTGCTGGCTGCGAGCCAAATGCTTAGCCTACACTATCTCTTACCAGCGCAGATCTAGAAGAAAACATTCCCCTCTTTACCCCTCCTCCCAGTTCCTCTGTAACTAGCTGGCAATATTCACTTACTTCAAGCTCTGGACATTTTGCCCGGCTGGCTATGGCTGCCTTGTTTGGCTCTGTCCTCAGGAAGGAGGTGAATATGATTTAAATGTCACTTAATCCTTTTTCCTTTCTCACTCATTAGCACTGAAGATGGCTGTTGCAAAAGGAAATGTATTTTTTTCATTTATATGAAGATGGCTGTTGCACAAGGAGGATTATTTTTCTTTCATATTACACATAACTGGGGTACGACGACCAAATGAAAAATACTTTGCTGGAGAATACGCCTTTTCTTTAAAAAAAATGAATCAATGTTTACCTTTGTTATAGTAAAATGCTTCTTGCTGAGATCCTGTTTTCAATTATTACAATGAATTATTCATTCACAGGATTATTTGAATCATAATTATGATTTATTCATTCACGTGGTTAACAGTTGAGAAATCCTTAAAAAACAGCTTTTGGGAGGGATGGAAAAGCTCCTGAGATTTGTAAGAGGATACAGGGCATGTCTACACTGCAATCACTGCTGTGATTAAGCTCATTCTGTGCAGGGTTTAAACGAGCAAGCCTCAAGCAGCATAGCAGAGACGGCGTGGAGCTCCACAATGATTTGCAGGACGATTTTCCAGCCCACGCAGACATTTTGTGCTGCCACAGCTCTGGTCTTCACACCACCTGAGCTAGCAGTGTTACAGATAGCTGAGGCGCCTCTGCGTGAGCTGCAGTCCCATCCGGCCACATCTACCCACTCTGCTCACCTCCTACCAGAGTCCATCTCAGAGTAGGCACCCAGGCTGCTATATACTGCCTGTCCTTACTCCTGAAAGCCCTTAGGAAGTCACTGTATTTCCTTCTGTGTACTTATGCTGCACCTCAGATGCAGTATCAACTCCCTAAGCCTTTGCAACGTGCAACTAAACTCTTTTTAGCACACAGCCTGTTCCCGAACCGATCTGCACCACGCTGCCTTGTGCAGCCACACCCCTCACTTCTATATTAAGAGGCGATGCCAGCTGCCACCGTTCAGCCTCCGTGCAGATCTTGCTGGGCCAGCATCTTGCCATGTTGGTACACAATTTGCAAAACTGGAGAGGAATGGCAAGGGAGATCCAGAGACATCAGGGAGGGTCAAGGGATGAACCCCAAAGCAGCACCGCAGAAAGCCACACAGCAGTACCATCACACTCCCTGCAGTGATTTGGCTACTAGGTCTGAAGCCAGCACCATGAGGCCACCTAAAGGTGCCGCTAAGCTTCTCTTTGAAGCATCTCCAAGCTCAGATATGGCATGTTGCCATGGTTCAAGAGTTTAGGACAATCACATCCTCCTCCAGGCTATATTGGTTACTAATTCCAAGGTGCACAAAACCCCCTTCATAGATCCATGGGAAAAATGTTGTTGACTCTAGCACAGCAGGACACCTGATTCTGGGCTCTCATCCCTACTCCAGAAGCTGGAGGGACATCAACCTCCAGAGCCTGGCCCTGACAGGCACCTGTCAATCTGTAGCACAGCAGTGCAGCTTCCACAAGCCAGACAGTTCCTTGGAGGTCTTATGTACCTCTGAATATGCATCAGCATTTTGGGTAACACTGTCATCCTTTGGATTCCCTTTAGATTCCTTTCACTGGATTTGATGTGCTCAGCACTGCAGGTGCCACAAAATTATGGGTATGTAGCATTTTTTCAGGAAAGCCAAACTCAAAGTAAGCACTCCAAACCTGAGATACCCCAAGCGGCTATCTAGATTTGTGTCTAGAACTTGCAGAACTTCTTAACCACTTCTTGCCTTTGTGGGTTTTCCCATCACTCCATCTTCTCCTGAACTTCCCAATTGCCTCTTCCATGGCTCTTGTGCTACCTCTTTCTCAGGTTGGACTTTATGATCCTAAAGGTCTTTTCCAACCCAACAATTCTATGATTCTATGATCTCCTGCTTCCCACATTCAGGTGCTTTTCCCAGTATTTGAGCATCTCCCCCTCTGACCTTACTAGTTTCTTCACTTACTTGCAGGTCAGTGGCCCCCAGTATCAAAGTCCCCTTTTGCAAAAACCCTATTGGGACTGGACCCTGCCCAGCAAGCACTGAAGATGGTGGCTGACTTCCTGACTCACTAGAAGACACCAGGCAACCAGGAGAAGAAGCTAGAGAGGCTTTGCTCATGTGACCTCTTGCAACACTCACCCATATCAAATGAAGAGACCAGAAGAAAAATAAACAATTCTTCATACCTGAAGTAACTTTTGTGAACTACGGACCTCTGAAATCATGCATCAACACCTTAACCTGCAGTCTAGGAGGTACATCATAACCTCCCACAGGCTTGAGGCCCTGAGGTAGAATCCATCTCCTAGGAGCCAAGATATTCCACAGGTAAACCAAATTCCAATGGTCTAAAAAGAAAAATAGCCAGGGAAACAAAAAAAAATAATTAAAACAATAATTAATTAAAAAAAAAGTCTCTGGCAGAGCATCCACATTTGAAATGGTCATTTACATTTATGCTCAATACCAATTACAGTCAACTTCATACCTCCCTACTTACTCAGAGTCATAAATCTATAAATGAAAGTGCTAAACGGGAGAGGGAAGCAGAATTAGCTTACGCCCTGAAGCTGTTAGCCATACGACTCAGAAACAGAAGTCATCCTGTTTTGTTCTCTTACCAGAAACTAGGAACAAACCTACCTGTTTATTAACAGACTTCCAGGCATTAAAGCATCCAGCTGATACGGTATCAAATGTTAATGGCCAAATTCTTTAGTGCCTTCAGCCTCTTTAGCCTAGTCAAGTGAATGTGTAGGTCTGAAATGTTACTCTTCATCGGGCAGAACACTAGACACACTTAGGTGGTGAAAGATGAGAAATGAATATGACAAATGAAACACTGGCTTTCATATTCACATTAAACTGTAAGAGGGAAGAAAATATACAAGGAATTGTCAATTTGTGTAACTTCAGATCTCAAAGCCTCAAATGGCAACAGGGTGAGTAGGGTTTGGGCATCTGACAATACCCTCTTCGTCCATCCAATGCAGTTTCCACCATTGCCATAATGGGCAGTGATAAGACTTCCCAGTTTTCCCCAAGATAGAAGCAACCCTGACTATTCTCTGATAGGAAAGCATCCACCCCAGTCCTCTGAGCTTCTGTCACCTCTCATTCTTCCACATAAAGTTTCCTCCTTTCCCCATTACCTAAA